AATATGCTAGACTTCATTTTGCTTATTGCTTGCTATTAATATTTTTATGATGCCAAAAGGGGAAAGTTTAAATTGAGGGGGAATAACAGGATCAGGGGAATTCTGGTTCTTAGGGGGGAACCTCAAATTATAAGTTTGTCATCATCAAAAAAGGGAAAATTAATAGGATGCATGCATAGGATATATGCATTCTTGTTGTATTTTGATGATCTAACAAACTTAATAATAAGAACCAGATAAGGAACATGATACACATCCCCAAGTACGTGAGAATAATAAGTCTCAAACTGGAGATGTAAATCAACTCTTCAGAAGTCAAAGAAACAACAAGGGGAACAGATGGACACCAATTCTCCTGGTGACCGTGCCAGTTAACTTCCCAACAGCTGTAAAGTTGCTGCCTGCACATGTAACAGTACAAAATAGTGCAGCTGTCAACTTCATTGGGAATACTCTTGTACCAAACATGCTTGCATCATTCAAGTGATGTCATCAATGTTATATTAACATTAAACCAAAGGCAAAACATCACTTGAGCATTGAAGAATCCATCTAGCATGCTCTCAAGTTTGTGCATCAATCCAGCAATCGATTCTCAAGTGCTTCAAGAACAAAGAACAACATAACAAGGACCAGTTCCCAGCATTGAGTCATTACATGTCCTTAGTTGTGTTGCACCTTTGTTTAAGTTCTTTACTTGTAATTTCTACTCAGCTTAGTTAGAAGCAATTGTGTAGAAAATTTTTGTTAAATCATAAACTATGTGTTTGTGTCTTGGCTAGAGTTAGTCGAGTTGTAAGTCTTTGTAATAGAGTTATTATAAAGTGGCTTGTAATAGAGTTGTTACAAGTTAGTGATGGATTAAAAGGTTAATTCCTAGGTTATAATAGGGGCTAATCTAAAGTTTACTCAGTAGTGAAGTTGAAATCCTACAAGGATAGGTCTTGGTTTTTAATCCCGCGAGCTGGGAGTTTTTTACGTAAAATTCCATTGTGTCATTTACTTACTGCTGTGTGCATGCGTTCTGTGGGAACTTATAGAGAACCTGGTTCTCTACATAGTTTGGTGGGCCCTTAGTTTCTAGCACTAACTCTTTTCCTATTTGTTGATGCAGGCAAAGTCCAAACAGAGTTATGAATATGAAAATTGTGAGGACTGAGATATAAAGACAGCAATAATACTACTGATGATGTTTTAAGTCAAAAAAATGCTAGCTATGTAACAGAAGTAATATAAAATAGAGATGAGGGAATATTACTCTGTTTAATTGTATTATTGAGTTAAAATATGCTTCTTAACTTTGTATATGTCTATTAGTTGTCTGATTATGTCTCTCTTGTTGTCATATTTTACAATTTAATTAAGTGCCCTGAGTCATATTAGTATTTGATAATTTTGTACTGCCTTTTTCTTGTCTTGTTGGCTTTGGATTTTATTTCTAATAGGATCATTTTTCCTTGTATTTGTTCAGGGATTGAAGCTAGAATTATGTACCACAGATAGAGTGGGTATGTTATCTGATCACTTTTCTCATTACTTCCCTTTGTTGTTGTAATAAGTGTTGTCATTATTGTAGTACTCCTCATTGTTGTTGTTATTGTTGTCGTTATTATTGTAAGTGTTACCATCATTGTAGTACTGATGCTGCTGGTTGTTACTGAAAAAGTTGTCGCCATTATAAAACTGTTGTTGTTGTTGTTGGTTGTTGCGCTTAGTACTATAATCGCTGACATTATTGCTTTCTATATATATTTGTTGCTGCTTTTGATCTCACAGGCCGGCTAGAATGTAGGTTGTATTGGGTAGAATAGATATAACTCGTGACTGATCTTTCCTTTTTATTGCAATTGATTATCTTCTATTCATCATCTGTGATGTCAATATGAACCCGAACCCAAATGAAGTTGCTGATATCAAATATGTTGTCGTTGATTATCTTCTATTCAGACTTGTCGTCAACAACTTTTTGTTCAAGTGGTGGGACCATGTTGAGAAGGGAACTCTCCCGGGAGTTGCTGATATGAAAACCATTCATAAGTTGACTTAAAAGGAGCCAAACTTTTAATATGGTTGAACTAAAATATATTTTTCCTTTAAATCGATAAACTTGGCAGTAATATACTCAAGCTTTCCTTTTGTATCCCTATGTTTGTTGTCTCTGTGAGAAATGGAAATTTTGAATTGATCAGAACATAAGTAACTAGCTTCTTGCTTTGTGCTAGGGAAACTTTATGTTGTCCAAATTTTTCTGTATCATATGATTGACATTGCCATTTTAGTTTCCAATCTTGTCTTTCTTTTTCTAAATGTGGATGTTACAGAAGCGGCCAAAATCATACATTTGCGTAACAAAAGGCCAAAAATAATATATTACGTAGGCCATATAAGAGAATTACGACAAGTATGAAGCTCTGTTCGAGATCTCCGTAGGGTCCAAATATTATTCAATTTTTCTTCTTTTTAAGTCAATAAGTGGCAAGTGCAGAATAATGTTACCTTAAAGAACTTGCTATGGTCCAAATCCTTTCTAACACTTTAATAATGTTAAAAATTTATATTTTTATTCAATCAATTTGCATAGAAAGTGGAAAGGATAAAAGAAATTAAAAGCATATTGTAAAATAAAAAATAAAATAGAGCCTAGACGGGGCAGGGCTTAATAGGGCGGGGCGGGGCAGGGCAAAATTTTGACAAAAAGCTAAATGGGCAGGGCGGTGCGGATCAAAATTTTAGCGGGTCAAGGCTTGCCCCACCCCGCCCC